CAGTAGGCAAATCTGTGAAAGAAGGAGAGAGAAATGGACAATTTGCCATAAAGATGGCCTCAGAAGAAGCAATTATAAACTTTTGCAAGACATAGACCCCAGTGTCAAAGAGAGGGAAGTGCACCATACAGGAAGACATGTAATCAGTCAAGGATATCTGTTTAGATTGGATTGTACTGTTCATGGTCATTTTGCCTGATATCTTTATGGCAGGTTGTCCATGTTTCTCTCCTTCTTTCACAGATTTGCCTACTGGTGTATTGCAATACTGCAATTTTGTTTTGTTCTTTTCCACTTGCACTATGTGCTTTGCTCTCCGTGCTTTGAGCAACTCCATATTGTTTTATTTATTACAGGTATTTATATAGTGCTGTCAATTTACTCAGCGCTTTATATATATATATATATATATATATATATATATATATATATGTGTATTGTACATTCACATCGGTCCCTAACCCACAAGGATTAGATTTACAATCTAAGGTCCCTACCCTCACATACATTCTAGGGACAATTTTAGACAGGAGCCAATTAATTTACCAGCATGTTTTTGGAGTGTGGGAGGAAACTGGATGACCCAGAGGAAACCCCCACAGGGAGAACATGCAAACTCCAGGCATGTGGTGCCGTGGTTGGGATTTGAACCAATGGCCCTAGTGCTGCCAGGCAGAAGTGCTAACCATTTAACCACTGTGTTGTCCTATTTTGTTTTTTCTTTTCCCTCAATTTGCTACTTTGTTTCTATAGTATTTAATCTGCAATGCTATAATTTTTTTCATGCACTTATTTTTGGCGATGTCATCTTGGATGGTTGATGGTGGGAGGGGTTGTGGGAATTTATACCTGTGTGTGTCACTACTGTATTTGTCTTGAGAAAGGCGGGCCATGCCCCACTGAAATGTTGACATTGATTAACTAGTTGCCGACCGCAGATAGCCGAATGACGGCTACACTGCGGCCGGCCACTTCTGAGTGGACGTCATATGACGTCCTCCCAGAACGTGCTCTCCTGCGCGCCCCAGGGGGCGCGCACCCCGGCGATCTCCGTGATCGCTGTGTCCTACGGACACAGCTGATCACGTGATGTGGTAAAAGGCCAATCACAGCGGCCTTTTACCACGTGATCAGCGGTGTCCAATGACACGCTGATCAGAGGGAAATGCAAGTGCCGGTTCTCGGCTGCACTTTCCTCACGCTGTCAGATCGTGAGGAAAGTACTGCCGAGAACCGGCAGTTGTCAGAGCGGGGATCGGCACCGATCATCAGGGCACTGATGATCAGTGCCCTGATGATCGGTGCCCAGCAGTGCCACCCGCAAGTTCCGCCCACCTGTGCCCAGCAGTGCGCCCACTAGCTCCGCCCACCTGTGCCCAGCAGATCACCCACCTGTGCCCAGCAGTGCACCCACCTGTGCCACTCTGCAGTGTCACACACCTGTGCCCAGAAGTGCCACCTACCTGTGCACAGCAGTGCCACCCACCTGTGCCCACCCACCTGTGCCCACCAGTGCCACCCACCTGTGCCCACCCACCAGTGCCACCCACCAGTGCAGCCCAGCAGTGCTGCCAGTCAGTGCCACCAGTCAGTGCCCAGGGGTTGTGCCAGTCAGTGCCGCCAGTCAGTGCCCAGCAGTGATGCCAGTCAGTGCCGTCTATCAGTACCCATCATCAGTGTCACCTATCAGTGCCGCCTATCAGTGCTGCATATTAGTGCCGCCTATCCGTGACACCTCATTAGTGCTGTCTATCAGTGCCGCCTATCCGTGCCATCTCATTAGTACTGCCTATCAGTGCCCTTTAGTCCTGCCTATCAGTGCCCATCAGTGCCGCCTATCAGTGCCATCAGTGCTGCCTCATGAACGCACATCAGTGAAGGAGAAAAAATACCTGTTTGAAAAATTTTATAATAGAAACAAAGAAACTTTTTTTTTTTTCAAATTTTTTGCACTTTTTTTATTTATAGCGCAAAAAAGTAAAGTGCCCAGTGGCGATTAAATACCACCAAAAGAAATCTCTATTTGTGAGAAAAAAATGATCAAAATTTCATATGGGTACAATGTTGCATGACCGCGCAATTGTCAATCAAAGTGCGGCAGCGCTGAAAGCTGAAAATTGGCTTGGTAAATAAGGGGGTATAAGTGCCTGGTAGGCAAGTGGTTAAACTGCAACTGTTGTAAGTCTCTTTGATTTCACCTACTGCCTGCTGCATGTTACAAGTAATAGAATCCATATAATATCCAGTATTGGTTATCTATAGCCTGGAGCACATTTACTTGAATGGCAATTAGGTTTTTTTGTTCATTTTTGTACGAATAATGACTTTTTTTGGGAATAGGAATGAACGGGAGTACAATGTCTCACAGAGTTCGTACTGAGGCATGTGAGTCAAAAAGAATTAATTTGAAATACAGAATTGTAAAATACATGGTAAGACAGCAGTATAAAGAAAGCCCCACTCAACATAATGTTTAAACCTCATGATTAGAGGCAAGCACGTATTAGGAAGACTGAAAATCCAATAATTATTTAAGGCATGTGGAACCATATGACCAGTCACAAACAGAAGACAAATGATGGAAAAGATGGAAAAATGAAGAAAAGAACAAAAAGCCATTTAGGATTTTGAAATATATCTATACCTATCTGTATAGGGGCACCTATACTGAAGGGATTTGCTGGGATGGGGTTTCTACTTTACTGAGGGGGTTGCCTGGGAGGGGGGATTTAGTGGTGTTAGAGGAGATCTGAACTGTGGGGGATATCGGCTTGGGGGGTGATTTGTACTGGAAAGAGGGAATAAATGTGGTTGTACGCTGTAAAGTGGCCTGTATGGGGAGGTGGAGTGTACATAAAAAAAGTACTGCCCCCAGGTGGCAGATGTGCTAGATATTAATAAAACAAAGTGAGCGCTTCCTGGTGTAGCAGCTAGCACATCAAGGTAACCAAACGAAACCTATAAAGTACAATATATATAATAAAGTGCAGCGCTATTTTAGCACTGCACTTTATTATATATAGATGTGCTAGAAATGCCACTGGTAATGCTAGTGGCACACTACATCATATCTTTAGTTTTTTTTCACTATGTCCATAGTTACACTCTGGAAATTGCTCTGATCTCCAGCTTAATCAGTAGCCACTTGGAGGTTCAATCAAGGTTCTGTCTATCAAGGTATTAAATGGGTTAAAGCAACCTCATGGCTGCTGCTGCTGCTGCAACCATAAGCTTGGTGTAGATTTTTATAGCCGGTGATGGACTTTTAGGTAAAAGTGATCTGAGTAGATCTAAAGTCGCCCAATTACTTTTATGGGTCTCTGAAAGTGCCCCCCACCACGGGAACCCAAAACCATGGTAAAATACACTAAGTTCACTGATCCACCTGTGGCTTTTTGTTTAGCTGCAATGGAAGGCAGGAGAGACATTAGGGATCTAATAGACCCCTGATATATTTATAAAGAGAGTCTGTCACCTTCCTATGCTATCACATAGTGGGTTTGTTAGCCATCGTGTGATAGCAATAAAGATAAAAGAAGATAAAAATTAGTGTTATAATAAATTGTAGTTAAACTAATTTTAAAAATAAATTTAAAATCACCCTTGTTACCCCTGTAGATACTGCGCTTCAGTCAAGTAGTGTAAGGCCTACACGTCTAAGTATACATAAATTGCAACACATGTGTGAGGTGTTGCTACAAATGTCAGGTTGAGAGCAATAATTCTAGGGCAGTAACTCATGGTTAACTCTAAACGTATAACCTGTAAAGGCCTTTAAAGCATTGCCTATGGAGAATTTTAGATTTTTAATTTCATGAGCACACACAAAATTGGGTATCGTATTTTCTTTTTTTGCACTAAAATTCATTTTTATATTTTTTCCTGTCAATATACATTTGATAAACAGCTGCGCAAATATTGTGTGGCATATAAAATTGTAACTGCCACTATTTTATTCTCCAGGATCTCTGCTTTCAGAAAATATGTAATTACTTTAGAGTTTGAAGTAATTTCTAGCATAAAATGCAGACTTTAACATGTTTGAAAAATTAATAAATTGCCCTGATGAAAAAATGGTGTGAATGTAAACCCAAACAATGAACCCCTATCAAATATACTATTAACCACTAGGGGACCGCCCGCAGTACATATACTGCTACAAGGCGGCCCCTGTGCTCAGGATCAAATATATAAACGTGATCCTGCATTCAGGGTAGGGGGCGAGCGCGAGGCTTGTGACTGCCCTACCTGCGGGTATCAATCTCCGGGTCCCGGCCGGTGATTACCCACCGGAGCCCTGCGATTGCCGGCAAACACTAACAGGGAGGAAGGCTGCATTGTTTTCTATGGAGCTCTCCTCCCTGTCAGCTTTCAGCACACTGTTCCGGGATCGCTGAGCTCAGCCTTCTGGAAAAGAGTGTAACAGAGAGGTACACACCCCTGCCCCCTAGTAAAACAATCTCCTCACACAGTTAACCCTTTGATTGTCTCCAAAAGTTAACCCCTTCCTCCATAGTGCCATTATTACAGTGTCAGTGGTTTTTTTTTTTTTTCTTGCACTGATCACTATATTGGTGTCACTGGGGATGTCAGTGACCCCAAGTCAGTTCCCACCCAGTGTCAGAATGTCTGCCGCCGTAAGTTGCTGATCGCCACTATTGCCCGTCAGTAGACTAGTCATCACATTTAACCCCTTGATAGCCAGAAACATGCTCATACACAATAAACCTCCATTGCTAGTGTGGTGTTTGAACTGATCAATATCTTTGATCAGATCAGCACTATACCAGCGTTCACATTATTGTAGCGTCCCAAAAAATGCAGTGTTAGCAGGATCAACCCCAGCACCTGCCAGCACCTGCGTTTAGCCCCTACGCTTACCGCCCCCCCTTTCTCCCCCCAGCAAGTGCAGTGTCAGTAGGTCACTGTCACTTGATACATTGCACACAAAACCGCAGTGTTCGCAGAATCAGGCTTAATCTCTGTTAGCACTTGCCTGTAAATGTTAATGACTCTCATATGTAGCAGAGTGCCAGTACTAGTGCCGTGTTACCTTTTGGTGAACTGGCGAGCACCAGCGGCCTAGTGCATCCTGGTCTTTCACATACCTCTTAGATTGTAAGCTCCCAGGATCAGGCCCTCCTAACCCTCTTGTATTGAACTGTATTGTTGCTGTATTGTCTCCCATTATATTGTAAAGCGCTGAGCAATCCTGTATATAATAATAATAATAATAATAATAATAATAATACCAGCACTGCAGTATGACTTGGTGACGTGGAGAGTCCCATAAGTGCAGTACAAGCTGGTTAGGTGGCGAGCACAAGTATTGTCCCGCAACCACCAAGAATTCGCACACAGGCCCATAGAGTCCCTAGTATCCTTCCAGATGTGCTTGCAAATCCCGATTGGCATCCCACAAATTCTGCAGCACCCATACTAGTCCCATTCACTGCCCAACCCGGAATTCAGATGGAAATAGCAAATTTAACTACTCCCCTTGATTTTTTGGAGTGTTTTTTTCTTGGAAGATCTGTATGTATTGATTGTGGATATATAAATCCTGTATAGTAATAATAATAATAATCACCGCCAACCCAAATTCAAACCTGGCCTGACCATTCGCATGGAAACTCATTACGGTTTCCAAATGTATTATTTTTTTGGGCCTAACCCTCAACATGGGCATTACTAAAAAAAGATAATTGCGGTCCTATTGGTCCACAGACCCGATTCATCATATGCCCGTGTACTCTGCTGCCTGGCCAGGCATAGATATGAGAGTATAATGTGTTTGATGCATTTCAACGACAATACACTCTGTCGTCCTCGAGGTGACCCTGAATTTGACCAGCTACACAAAATTCGGCCCCCTCGTAAATCACCTTAACCAACAATTTGCAGATGTCTATACTCCCCAGCAAAAAATCTGCATTGATGAGTCCCTCATTAATTTTTCTGACCGCCTTGCATTCAAACAATTTCTCCCCAGCAAGCGTGCCAGATATGAGTTCAAGATGTAGAATATCTGTGAGAGGACAGCAGGCTATACTTATATGTTTCGGATTTACGAGGGAAAAAAGAGTCATGTGGAGCCCCCCGGATGCCCAGACTACATGGGGAGTAGTGGCAAGATAGTTTGGGACTTGGTGTCATCCTTTTTCCATATGGAGTACCACTTATACATAGACAATTTTTATTCAAGCGTGCCACTATTTAGATATTTATACAATCTTGGAACTGGCGCATGTGGCACCATGTGACCTAATGTGTGCCCACCATTAGAAGTGGGTGGATGCAGGGGGGTATATTTTAATGGTGGGCATACCACACATTTTTTTTTTGGGGCAGAGATTTCTTCTCTTTTTTTCATTCAGTCCACAGGCTGCATACAAAAAAAAAGAACATAGCATATATACCCAACAAGGACCAGCGACGTACTGCTACATCACTGGACTTTAAATGGTTATACCAGGATGATGCCTACAGCTCCTGGTATAATTTTTTTCAGCTGGCGATCGGCTTTCATGTAAAAGCAATCCTTGTGGCTAATTAGCTGCAGGATTGCTTTTACAAGCAGCGGGAGATAATGCCTCCCCTGCTGCCTTCCACGGCCTTCTTGGGCAGTCCCGTGCCATCGGGGGAACCTGAGAATGCAGCCGGTGTTTCTGCCAGCTGACCATAAAGCTGATTGGAGACCAGAATGGTGCCAATCATCTCTATAGCCTAAGAAATCAGAAGCTACGAGCATTTAATCACTTCAGTTTTGCAGGATATAAACAGCGCCATTTGTAACTTTGGAAAGCATCTGATCACACCGATCTTGGTTTGATTAGATAATGTAAGGGCAGAGGAGATATCTAGAGTCTGATAGAACCCAGATTTCTCAAAAAAGAATACATGAAAATGCCCATTGAAGTTATAGGGGATTTTTGCATTCCCTATGATAGCATTAAAAGTGATAAAAAAAAAAATTAACGGGATAGTGTAAAAAAATCTAAATAATTAAAAAAAAAAACAGTACCCTTGACCCCCCGAGCACGCACGCACCTGGGTTCGTGAGCGTTGACCCTGTGCCAGTATGGAAACAGCAGTTTCACCTTGCATATGAGGTATCGTCACGAACGTCAGATCAAGGGCAGTAATTCTAACACTAGACCTCCTCTGTAAATCTAAAATGGTAGCTTGTAAAGGCTTTTAAAACATTGCCTATGGATATTAAAAGCATATGCAGTTTGTCGCCATTGCACGGGGCATGCACAGTTTTAAAGCATGTCATGTTTGGTATCTATTTACTCGGCATACCATCATCTTTTATATTTTACCAAATAATTGGCCAACATATTGTGTTTTTGTGCATATAAAGTAAAAAAAGTATATTTAAAAAAAAATTGCGTTTGAAAAATCGCTGTGCGAGTACTATGTGGCATAAAAAATTGCAGCACCCACCATTTTATTCACTAGTGTGTTTGCTTTAAAAAATATATAATGTTTGGGATTTAAATTAATTTACTAGTAAAAAAATACAGATTTTTTTCATGTGAACAAAAAGTGTCAGAAAAGGCTTGGTCTTCAGGTGGTTAGAAGAGTGAATGATGTGTGGCATAAACTTCTAATGCTGAGCATAAAATGCCCCCACCCCCCAAAATGACCCCTTTTTGATAAGTAGACATTACAATCAATTTGCTGAGAGGCATATTGAATCAATAGAGGAATTTATTTTTTTTAACACAAGTTTTTGGAAAATGAAAAACAAAAACATTTTTTTTTTTTTTTTTTACACAAACTTGTCACTTAAATGATTTATTGCTCACACATGCCATGGGTATATGTGGAATTACTCCCCAAAATACATTCTGCTACTTCTCCTGAGTATGGGGGTACCACATGTGAGAGATGTTTTGGCAGTCTAGCCAAGTACAGGACCTCAAAATCCAATAAGCACCTTCAGGCTTTTAAAGGGCTTTATTTCCTCATTACACTTCCTGACTACCTATCACAGTTTCGGAGGCCCTGAAATGCCAGGATAGCACCAAATCCCCCCAAATGACCCCTTTTTGGAAAGTAGACTCCCCAAGGAATTTGATATGAAGCATGTTGAGTATTTTGCAGATCTTGTTTGTTGCCACACGTTTTTGGAACATGAAGAAAAAAAACAAAAACATATTTTTTTTCTTTTCTTTTGGGTCATTTGGGAGTGTTTGTGCTATCCTGGTATTTTAGCACCTCAAGAAATATGATGAGCAGTCAGAAAGTAAAATCTGTGTAAATTCCATTATCTATACCCTAGTTTGTAGATGCTATAACTTTCACACAAAGCAATAAATATACACTTATTGGGATTTTTTTTAACTAAAAACATGTAGCAGAATAAATTTTGGCCTAAATTTATGACGAAATTTTAGTTGTGTTGGATATTTTTATGACAGAAATGAGAAAATATCATTTTTTAAAAAAAAAAAAAAAATTTTTCTCAAAACATTTTTTGTTTATAGCGCCAAAAATAAAAAGTGCACAGGTGATCAAATACCACCAAAAGAAAGCTCCATTTGTGTGAAAAAAAGGACAGAAATTTAATTTATGTACCCTATTGCATGACTGAGCAATTCTCAGTTAAACTAGTGCAGCGCTGTATAGCAAATAAATGGCGTAAATTGCAGTATCTATACCATAGTTTGTAGACGCTATAACTTTCACACTTATTGGGATTTTTTTTTACCAAAAAAATGTAGCAGAATACATTTTGGCCTAAATTTATAACTAACTTTGAGTTTACTATATATTTTTTATAGCCGAAAGTAAAAAATATTGTTTTTCTTCAAAATGTTCGGTCTTTTTTTGTTTATAGCACGAAAAATAAAAAGCGCACAGGTGATCAAATACCACCAAAAGAAAGCTCTATTTGTGTGAAAAAAAGGACGTAAATTTTGTTTGGGTACAGCATTGCATGACCGCAAAAATTATCAGTTGAATTAGTGCAGCGCCGAGTAGCAAAAAGAGGCCTGGTCATTAAGGGGGGTAAATCCTCTAGAGGGAAAGTGGTTAAAAGTTTTTTGTTGTGCAGTATCTGATGAAGTTCAAAAATACCTGTTGATCTAACCAGAAATCCAGTAAGCTTGTAATTTCCTGTGCACTCTCAAACAGTCTTATCAGCCCTGCCCAGAAACGCAGAGCACCTCCCCCAATGTTATTTAGTTGATTTTGAAGGGTGGTTGTTCTGTAGTCAAAATAGGGAGCAAGCAGTTTACAGTGAGCTCTGCTCCTCCAGAGAAAACTGTACAGTGAGTATGAGTAGGTGTCATAAGAACAGGAAGGAATACTAGGTGAAAAAAAAAGCCAGAAAAAAAAACATTTGCCTACCACCACATTATAGGACTGGAAAGATGCAATATAATATTTGTTCTTGGCCTTACAGTGCTGTGAAAAAGTATTTGCCCCCTTTCGGTTGTGTTTTTTTTTATTTTGCATATTTGTCAAACTTAAAGATTCAGATCATCAAACAAATTTTAATATTACACAAAGCTTGAGGTGATTGTAGCCATATTAGTGCATTTGCGACAGAAACAATTGAGTACTGTCTGTGATACTTTTTTTATTTGCACTAACAATTTTGAGGACAAGCTTTTCGGGGAGTGTCCCCTTCTTCAAGGTCCAAGCAGTACTATACAAATCACAAAGTTTTAGCGGAATGTTAGAAGAGATGAATAAAAAAAAAAAAGAGGCTAGAGATAAGAACACAGCCTTGAGAACCCGAAGAGAAAATCTACTTAAGTACAAAGAGAAAAAAACAAACAACCGTGTACCTCTAGTAACCACATACAACGCAGCACTAGAAGGGACAAGAAACATAATCAAAGATTTACAACCCATCAAAACGGAGGATGGAACTCTGAAAGAAATATTCCAGCAACCCCCAATACTAGCTTTCAGACAACCCCCCAACCTCAGAAATAAACTAATTAGTAGGAAACTTCCTTCTGATCAAGATGTCACAAATAATGGAAGCAAACCCTGCAATAGAAAACGCTGCAAACTGTGCAACCAAATCAATCCATCAAAAAGTGTCAGACACTTAAAAGGGATCTTCAATATTTCCGGATCATACAGCTGCACCTCTAGTAATGTTGTGTACCCTATCCAGTGCAGAAAATGTAGCAAAGGATCTTATGTTGGCGAAACAGGACAGAAGTTGCAAACAAGGATGAATTTGCACAGATCTACCATCAAGGAACATAAAGAAGATGACTTTTGCAGAGCTGTGGGACACCATTTCGCACAACCATACCACATAATGGGAGACCTCAATATTTTAGTTCTTAAAGGAAATTTCAAATTTATTCAGGAAAGAAAAACTTTTGAACTAAGAATGATAATTCTATTTGACACAAGAGATAAGGGCCTTAATTTGGACATGGGATTCCTCAATCATTATCCAACAGTTTTATGACTATCAGCTCAAGCTTGAC